CCCCCCCCCCCCCCCCCCCCCCCCCCCCCGCCAGAGAAGGCGTGCCTTCTCTAAGAGGATGGATTTCCCCGGTGAGCACCATGGGCAGGCAACAAGTGTGCAGAGAGCTGTGTTCTAAGTGAACAGGCCTTTGCACACTCGTTTCTGCTCATGCTTAGTGGTGAGTTAAAGCTCACATATTTCAGGCTTGATGCCCTGTAAGTCTTTTTAGGTTTAAAGAAAAGTATTTTATTTAAAATCTGTGTATCAAGTGGCAAGCTGTACATAGTTAAGTTAGCCTGGCTCAGAAGTCCTCCCTCCCATTGATGAGGCGGCTCAGACTGAGTGCTTCCAGGAAGCTTAAAGAATACCATAGAAGGGTTCTTTATTTACAGCTTAGGTTAGGCTTCAGGACATTTGACCAGGCATGATGTAGAGTTATGTCTGGAGCGTGTGCCTGACTTGTGCAGGAATAGTGAGACCTTAACATTATCTAAAAACCGTAGTAGCAAAGCATTGAATATAGAGGGGCATTCCAGAAATGGACTCGCCAGCAAGTTAGAAAAACAGACAGATCTCAATACTGATGTCATGAAATGGTGTTCCTGTTCTCGATGAGAACAAGGTCACTCAAGCATTTATACCGTTTCATTGGCCAGTGCAATCTCAGTAAGTGAGGCTCTGTAGAGCATGCCTGAGAGGATCGGATGCCCCAGAGAAAAGTCCCAGTTACCTTGTTGTATTATTAGTAGCTGTCTGGGATGAACCTATTGTGATCAGGTTTCCCTGGTCATGGGGGTAATGGTGGGGCTAGGGTGCAGCCGTTTTGAAAGCATTGCCTACCACATAGCTTGCACCCTCATTGTTGAAAATCTATGTTTCAAGCAGGTGTTTGTGACATTTAGCCCACATGGACATGAAATTGAATTGAAGATTCAGTAAATGAATGAATAATCGTGCTCTGCCTCAAAATCCACCTCCTGTTGCCTACGCAATAAGTCTTGGTTATGGGGCTGCCTCTAAGCTGTAATCGTGTTAAGAGCATGTGGATGGACTAATGTCTTCTCTGGAAATTAGGATGCTGGCTTCAGAGCTTTGCCAGTGTTTGCCTGAGATGAGCACCCTGCAGCCCCACCCTCCTACCCACAAGCCCCTTCCCCAGGTGGACACGCTAAAGAATGTGTCTTTTTAACTCATTGCCTCTGATTGTAGTGCTCAACCCCTGCTGAGTGTTGAACACCTCAAACTTGAAAAATACTCCCTTCTGAGTCCCACCTCTCCCCACTAAGAAGTTTCTCTAGGATGGTCTTTGGGTATCAGTATTTGAGGATATTCTTAGGAGAGCTACTTTATATTTCTGTTGTTGCTCTGGGGAACTTTGCATTGGGAAGGAAAGGCTCCTGGCAAGGGTCTTTGTGACTAAACTTCATAAGGACCTTACATCTAGTGAACTGAGGGGCTGGAATTAACAGTGGGGTTTTAGATTCCCCGAGAGCCTTTTGGAGCCTCATCCTTGCTGCGTTGGAATGGTGGAGTCAAAGGAGTGCTGGAAGGAGATCTGGGCCCCAAGCCTTGAGCACAGCGGCTTCCCTTAAGTCTCATGCCTGTCACAGGCTGCTCTGACACCGGACTTGGCACTGAAGGGAGTTAGGTCTTAAAACTCAATCACTGACAATTAGCTGTAAAGCAGTTATGCTAACTAAAACAATTTAGGCTAATTAAAACAGTTTTTGGCTCATCAAAACTCTTTGCTCTGCATCCAAGTGCATTAATTGATAGTGAGATTAAGTAGAATGAAATTGTAGCAGGGCAGGGGCAGACCTTCACTGAAAAGCATTAAAAATGAAGAAATTTGAACCTAAACTTATTATTTGGGGGCCTGCCATTCTGAAGCAAGTTTGCGAATTCGTGTGTTCCAGCAACCCGTTCTCAGTAATGACTCTCCTGACTCAAGAAGACCTTTGACCCACCTGTACCCCAGATACAGAACTAGGTCCCTTCTCACCGCCTCAGCCACCACTCTGCCTCGCTGCCATCAGGTGTGCGCATTGGTGTTTGGGGGGGAAAGAGTTGTGTGAAATTCTTGCCACTTACGGTCTGTGTCACAGCCAGTAGCTAAAGTGGTCCCATTCTACCCTTAAACTCTGGCTTTTTGTGTCCCTCTGGGAGGAACACTGCAGACTTCACCCTCCCTAGCCCACCACCGCTCTTCCACTGGCCCATTCCTGCTGCCCCACCACCCCACACCTTTTTTCTGCCGTCACCACTACTGGGGTTTTCAACTCACCCAAAGGACCAAAGCAATCAAAAGGAGAAGCAATACACTGTAAGTCTGATGCTAAATCACACACCTCAACCTTCGTTAAAATTCAATTTTCTACCCAGCAGCAGGCTGGAAGCCACTAGACAGATTATCAAACTTTGTGGAGCCGACTTTTAAGGAAAATGAAATCTCAACCCCTCTGAAATCCCTAGCTGGAGAAATGTCAGCTGATATTATGAACTATAAACCATCTTTCGACTGACGTCAAGTAAATTATGGGACTAGCAAGCCATTTTTAAAAATCAGCTCAAAATTAGGGCAGTAAGAACTTCTAAAATGTGTACTCTGAGAAAGTCGTGTGGCCAGTGGAAGCCTCTGAGGCCTGGGGACCCCAGGAGAGGCAGATTATCCGTAACCAGGACTGGCTGCTCACACCTGGATCAGATGTGGTCCTACCCGCAAGCCCTTGCCAGTCGGGGAAATGGTCACAGTACAGTGTGAGCGTGGCCCCGAGGTGTGCTCCCTCTAACCTGGGAAAGTAGGACCTGGTGCAGTTGATATTGGCAGGAAATTGGGGGTTGGTGGGTGTCTCCAGAAATGTTCAGGTTCTTGTGGCAAGGGACAACTGGACCGTCGACTTGAGCCTCACCCCCCTAAAATGCCAGGGTGCACACCTGGGTTAAAGATTCCACAGGACAGACTGACGGATTGGCCTTAGTGACTGGGCAGCTGGATGTTGGAGATCTGAAACCAAATCGCCGTGATCGGTCTTTAGCTCCCTGGGGAGGCATTTATAAGCAGCAATGAGTGAGAATTATTCTGCCTTCCTGGGCAAAGGATCGTCTGTGAGGATCCATGATGCTGATGTGTGGATGGGAGCTGAGTCTCGAGGAACCAGAGGGAGGCTTATTGGTTCCCTGCAAAGCTAATTAAGAGCACAGTTTGTCACTATGCCATCTTCCCAGCAATGGTGAAGGGCAATTTTATTTCCAGATAGAGAATCATTAGCTTGTCTCTGCCTGTGCCTACTTGTGGATTTAACCAGCAGATTCTGAAATGGGACTCAGGACTCTGCCTAGGAAGGTCCCTCTTGTTCCAGCACTGTTCCCAAACTGCAGGTGCGAACGTGACGGGTTTCTGTAGATCTGACCTTCGACACTCACTTCTCCCAGCAGCATCTGGGATGTTCTCCGGGGTATGAGACAGTTTGGAGTTAAGTAGGGTGATCATGTAATTTATTGTCCAAACCAGGATACATGCGTAAACCATGTCTAGTTCCATCTTTGGGAGCTGGTGAAGTGCAGACAGCATCTTCTGCCATTGGGAAGTCACGGCCACCAGGATGTCCTCGGTTGAGATTATGATTATGATGGAGACAGGATCTTACTATG